CTGCAACAGCTGGAGCTGAGCCAATCTGAAGCCAGGAGCCAGGAGCTTCTTCTGGGTATCCCACACAGGTGCAGGGTCCCAAGGCTTTGGGTGGTCTCGACTGCTTTCCCAGGCCACAAGCAGGGAGCTGGATGGGAGTAGAGCTGCTGGGATTAGAACCAGCACCCATATGGGATCCAAGGCGAGGACTTTAACTACTATGCCGGGCCCCCCAGAGGAGTTTGTAAGCTCTTGGATAGGGATCCAGCCTTAGGCAGTCCTGTTTCCCTGGATGACCCATGAAGCGTCTGATACTTTTCTCATATATGTTGGATGAGCATACGATTAAAGAGGTCATTTGTAAGAACTTCCTAGAGACACTGTCCTGATTTTACAACTGAAGACAAGACCAAAAAGCAGCCCTGCCCACTTCTTAGAGATACAGCGCTATGTTAAGTTTTAGTCTTTGATTTTTCCTAATTCAGTGCTGCTCTATGTTTTGCATTTTCTTTTCATGTTTTTTTAAAAGATTTATTTTCTTTTTATTTGAAAGGCATAGCTACAGACAGATGCAGATACAAAGAGAAACAGATCTCCACGCGCTGGTCCACTCTCCATGTGGCCGCATGGCTGGAGCTGAGCTGGTCCGAAGCCTCAGCCATCTAGGGAGTGAACCAGCAGACGGCAAATCTGTCTCTCCCTCTCTGTAACTCTGCCCTTCCAATCAAAACAAAAGTATTTAATCACTGGCTCTGAGGAGAAAAGTCTGTTCACCTGGTAACTGTAACAAATGTACTATCTCTTAAAATACTTCCATTTCATATTTTTTAGTATTACCATATTAAAACACACCTAAACTTCATGTTAATTATTTTAAGAAATCACCAGTATAATTGCATTATTTTCCCATAATTATGCAAAAAAAAATCATGAACACACTGCAGTTTAACAAAAATCTGGCTTCAAGGCCAGCCTAGCTCCAGCCACTGTAGCCATTTGGGGAGCTACCACATGGAAGAGCTTTCCTGTGTAACTCAGCCTTCCAAATTAAAAGAAAATAAAAAATTTTAAAAATCCAACACTGTCCAACACTGCACGGTGGCACAGTGGTTAAGGTCCTTGCCTTGCACGCCCGGGATCCCATATGGGCGCCGGTTCTAATCCCAGCAGCCCCGCTTCCAGCTCCCTGCCTGTGGCCCGGGAAAGCAGTGGAGGACAGCCCAAAGCTTTGGGACCCTGCACCTGCGTGGGAGACCCGGAAGAGGCTCCTGGCTTCGGATCGGCATAGTATCGGCCCGTTGCGCTCACTTGGGGAGTGAATCATCGGATGGAAGATCTTCTTCTCTGTCTCTCCTCTCTGTATATCCACCTTTCCAATAAAAATAATAAAATAAATCTTAAAAAAAAATCCAACACTGTTCAGGCATTTGAGGTTTTGATTTAAAAAAAAAATTAATTCCTAACATTAATTTTGTACCCTGAACATTGTTGGGGTACCTTAGTTGACCATGGAGTCATTCACCCAAATCGGACACTCAGGACAATCTCGTAAACAAAGAAAGCCTTTATTCCTCAGCAGGGTGGGGACACCTTTCTGCTGCCAAGGGTCACTTGGATGTTTACAGCGTCATTCACAGGCCATACACAATCAGAACCTGAAAAATAGCTGCTTTGGTTTTACTGAATCTCCAGTCCCACCTGCTCCTGCCTCAGCCAGGCTGGCCCAGACCTTGCAAGACATCCCGGGAGTGCGGGCCAACTCCCCAGCCCAGCTTTAGGGAAACATCTGATGCACAGTGAGGAGTGTGGCCTCTGGAGCCAGGCAGCAGCCTGAAAAGTCAGCCAGAATCCTGACTTCGCTTCATCTCGACTGAGTGCCTAGGGCGACTGACTTAGCAGCTCTCTGTTTCCTGATCTTTAACGGGATAAGCAGAGAATGTAAACAATCTTTACATGATTTAGTACTTACAAATGTGCAGAAGCTAGCTGTTATCATTACAGCTTTCCTATCAAAGCATGACAAGCGTGGTATTAAAACGTAACTATAGACACCTGCAGTAAAAATTGGTTAAGTGTAAAGAGGAAAAGTAGCTTTTAAAGTACAATTTAGAAAGAATATGTCCTACTTAAAATGCATATGCAGTAAGTCCTACCTTTAACATTAAAAAAACACACACACTTTTTGAAAGCTGGTCTCAAAGTCTTTCAAGAAACAATGACCAAACGTTAGTGTTGAGTCTTTGCAGACTTCATTGCAAGTCAGGCCTAGGTGGAACAAAAGACTGCTCAAACATACACATCACGGCCACTGGTGTGTCTGTCAGTGAACTACATCCTGAAGTCTAACATGTATTTGGATCTTCTTTTAAAACAATCACCGGAATCTTTGCTCCAAGATAGCCCTTGAGTAGGGATTTCTGTACCTGGCAGGCACTTCTACTAAGCTGCAAAGCCATGCCAGTTCAGAGAACTCGAGGTCCTTCAGAGTTGTGTGACCTTGGAAAACACACTTAACAGGTCTCCAGGATCCATTACATCATCTACAAACGGGATTTATCTCCACCTCCAGGACTAGGGAGGGGAGAGGGAGAGCAATACCTATGAAAGATGCTTTCAGACTGGCTCCTATTCCTACTCTTGACCCTTCTCCCATGAGGCAGCGGGTGGGGAGGTCAGACAGCAAGCTAATGTTAAACGGACTGAAATTGGGAGTTAATATCGTCACACAGTGGCATAGTGGGTGCCAGCATCCCACACGAGCACCAGTTCCAGCCCTAGCTGCTCCACTTCCAGGAGACCTGGAAGAAGCTTCTGGCTTTGAACTAGCCCAGTGCTGGTCGTTCATAGGGGAGTGAGTCAGTGGATGGAGGATATCTCTTTCTCTCCCTCTAACTTTGAACTTTCAAGGTAAATAAAATAGATACACACACACCCTGTAATGGGGGTGAAGAGTAGGGAGTGGGGTGGGAGGACAGTGTTGGCAACCTGTCTGGACTGTTTCTGGAAATGCAAACCCTTCTTATAGTCTCCAATTTGGTTTTTCAAATATGGGGCTCCAAAAACAATAGTCATTCATGAAAGACACATTGGAGCCAAGCACCTCTCAAACTCCTGACAAAGAAACCCACAGTTCCTATCCGCATGGAGTGATGCTGCTGTAACTCCTGACAGGCAACCTGCACCTGCAAAAAAGCACCCTAGTTCTGTCATCAGTGCGAGGATCAGTCACTGGCTCCCCCAAAGTGCTGAAAGGCACTCTGCTGCAACTCCCACAAATCTCAAAGACAATACCAAACTTCAAGTTCACGTAATCTGACACTAGATGGGGCTTTCTGAACTATAAGGATATTTAACCTATGGCAGGCATGCAGGCGTGGACCGGCCTGGACCTCTGCGGATGCTCAGTCTCACACTCACCCAGTGCCAAAAGGCAGTCCTGGGCAGAATACACTCGATGCACCCCCAGCTCCAGTTAGAGGCACCCAGAAAGGAACAAAAGTGCCACTGCCGCTTCACCAGCAACACTTAAGTACGTGACAGCTAAGTGCAGGAACAACTGGACAGAGGAGTCACAAAACGAACTCAAAATGCAGGACCCTTAGCTATAATGACAACTTTTGAAAAGAATTTTTAGGTGATTAAAATATACTCCATTTCAATTAAGGCATGTTGTTAAGTCCATTCGAGTTCAGTAATTAGCACACCATCCGTTTAAAGCAGTACATTAGATGTGTTTTCTGTATTTTTTCTGCCTATCAATATCACTTATGTGAGCACTAACTCGATTCCCGAAGAAGAGATTCCGATCAAACGGTTTCTAATCCAGTTAAGATACGTCTATCACACAAGTCCCTGAGGTGGTACCACTTTACAAACAGCTCACTCCATCCTCCCCCAAACCCTAAGAGGCCTGCATGCTGATCTAACACTCCCCTGAAGACACGCAGGTTTTTAGAGGTCAACACATTGGTCATGATCACCGGGCATAAAGATGACTGCGCAGTAGGGAGTTTTGATCCCACCAGAACAAAGGTGAAAAACTCACTTTGGAACTGGCTCCCCATCACTGAGAAAAATCAAGAACCGCAGGTTTTCTAGACCGGCAGCCGTTTGTGGAAAAACAAGTGCCTTCTCAGCCCTTCTTATAAACTGCGGACCCTGACACATAGCGATTGGTTTGTTTCCTTTTCTATTTTCAGATGCCTTAACAAATACTCTCTGCAGACACCAATACCAAAGTTTTACAATTTAATCATCACCTTATCAACCAAAACTATAGGCCTTAATGTAGCTGGCAGAAAGCTCTCCTGGAAATGACTCCAGAAAATGTGCACCTGCCAATTGTTCTCCCTCAGTTCTCTACCCCACCCCACTCCACACACACACACAAAAAACACAACTTTCAGAGACCCGAGGGGACCGAGAGGAGAACTAAAGGCATTCAGCCACTTTTCCTGGTTCTGTGCGCTTGGCCAAGGGCGCCCGAACCAGAAGCGTGTTCTCCACCACCCTTTTACAGCGTTCAGATTTAGCAGGTGACAGTCCAAAAGGCAAGCGCAACACGACGAGCGCATTGTACCCGAGAACGCTGAATCAAACGTGAACGCGCATCACAGCTGCCCGGGTGCCTGTCAATTAGAGAAAGAATCCGCTATCAAATATTAATAGCATACTACTGCACCGGAGCTGTGGCCAAGAAGCCTTCTGCTACCAGTTTCTGTTATGAAAGGAAACCTGGCCTTGCAGGTTAGAAAAAAAAGCCCTAAGCCAGCAAGAATCCCCAGGAAGGGCTATGGCATTCAGATCAGGGAAAACTGGGCGAGGAGCAGCGGGGTGTGTTCAGGGAAGGCGGGTGCCAGCAGGGCCGGGAGCAGGGGTCCCCAGGTCTTCGCAGTCTCCCGAGGGCCCCCCACTGTCAGAGCCCGCAGGGAGGCGGGGCGCGGCCGGTCCCGAGGACCGCACAAAGGACAGCGAGCCGGCCGGCCGGGGCGGGGCGCCGCGGGACCCCCGGGGACACTCACCCAGCAGCAGCACGTTCTTCCCCGCGGGGAGCTTGGAGCGCGAGCGGGTGGAGACCTCGCTGAGGATGCAGGACCTAACGGGGGAGGATCGAGACGCACGCTGAGGCCCCGGGTGGCCGAGGGCAGGGGCGGCCGGGCGAGCCGAGGCGGCGGTGGGCCTGGGCCGGGCGCCGAGCTCCGGCGGGCACGGGGGATCCCGAGGCGTCCGCCAGGCCGGCCGAGCCCGCGGAGCAGGGGAAGGGATGGTGGGATACGGGGCGGGGAGTCGTTCGTTACCAAAGGTTCTGCCCGTCCTCGTCGTCGCCTGCCGTGGCCCCGCCGTTGCCCGACGCGAGGTCGCCGGCCATGGAGGTTAATCCCGGAGGGGAGGAACCGAACGAGCCGACTCGCCCCACGGCCGCCATCTTGGTCGGGAATCGCACCACTCCCGGCAGGGCTGAATGAGCGAGGCCGCGCAGGCGGCGGCGGCGGCGGCGGCGGGAACCCGGATATGGGGCGCGGGGAGCGCGGGGGCGGGGCTTGCGGGGGCGGGGCACGGGGCGCGCTAGGGGACGACTGCGCGTGCGCCGCGGGCGGGCTGGCGCGTGTGTGCGTGTGCGCAGGCGCGGGCTGCCGGAGGTGGGGCTGGTTTTGTCGCCGGTGTCTGAGGCGGCCTGGGTGTGTGTCTGGTGAGCCCTGCTCCCTCACACTCTTCCGTCGGAGCCACCAACCCTGCCATCGGTCGTGGAATTCCTGCACTGTCACTGCAGACTCACACTCCCTGTGTAGGCTGTCGGGCGACGTGTTGGTCCAACTGGATCTGCAGCTTCGGCGTGTGGTTGCGACCCCCTGCGCAGCCGCATGATTAAACGGATTTTTGACGAGGCTTGCTTTCGTGAGATTTGGAAAGATCCATTACATGGCCCTGAATGTTGTGCATGTCTTTTCCTCCTTGCGCGTCACTTGCTCATGTGTGACACATAGCGCCATTGTGCTAATGAGACCGTCCGCGGTGAAAAACAGCGTTTGCTGTGTGTGAACATTGAGCTTCGAAGTCCCCAAGACTTTGCAGCTGGCAAATCGGAGCTGAGATGTAACTCCAGCGCTCGTATTTTATGCCATGTATTAACCTTACCCTCAGTTTCCTTATCTGGAAGATCCGGTGAACGTTGTTAAATGGCATAAAACAGTGACCGGAATATCCTGGGCGTGTTTGCCTTCCTTTTTTCTTCAGCCCCTGGAAACGCTGGGCCTACAGCTGAAGGAAGCAGCAGTCCCGCTTGCGTTCCCAGGCATTCAGGGGGTGTCAGAGAGAGCTGAGCCTTCTCCCGCCTGGAGACTTGGTGTGCCTTTCTGCCTTGGTCGCCGGTTTTCCTCAGAGCATCTCTCCCTCTGTTTGGTTTATCTATAGGCATGTGCATTCTGTCACACACCGGGAGCCTTCCGCAGGCTCACATAGGGCACAGAGGTTGAATCCATGCTTTGGATGTGTGGGTGCCATAGCAGAGTGTATGTGTGTGTCAAATCCCGGCTCCGCTGCTTCCAATCCAGCTTCCTGCGAGTGGACAGCCTGGGAGACAGCAGGGGACAGCTCCCGTTTGAGAGGCCCAGACTGTGTCCTGGGCTGCTGGCTTTGACCCGACCCAGCTGTGGCTAGCAGGTGACACATCTCTGTCAGTCTCTCCTCTTTCTCTGCCTTTCAAGTAAAATGAAAATAAATAAAACCTTAAAACCACAACGAGTCAAAAGGAGCTATTCAAAACAAAACAAAAGCCTTCTAGGGGATGGCTGTATTGTGGCAGGTAAAGCCACAGCCTGTGATGCGAGCATGCCGTACGGGCACCAGTTGAAGTCCCAGCCGCTCCACCTCAGATCCAGTTCCCTGCTAATGTGCCTGGGAAAGCAATGGAAGATGACCCAGGTCCTTGGGCCCCAGCCATCCACATGGAAGACCCAGACGAAGCCCTGGCACGGCCTCAGCCCTTTTATTTTCTGTCTGGGTAGCCTTTATAACTTCCACCAAAAACTATAAACATATCTACTCACCTTCCCATTTCTGTATTTTCATATGCTCCATGCCTGCCAATGGTCAAAAAGAACATTCCGCACCTTTATGCTAGAGCAGTTTCCTCTCATCAACTTTGTTCCCACAGCCCACCCATCTCCATGGCATTACTGTCTCGTCTTCCCCAGATCTTTTACACGAGTATTATTAGCTCTCCTGTCATAAAAACAGAAAGAGGGCCCGGTGTGGTAGCCTAGTGGCTAAAATCCTTGCCTTACACATGCTGGGATCCCATATTGACACCAGTTCCTATATCAGTGGCCCCACTTCTCATCCAGCTCCCTGTTTGTGGCCTAGCAAAGCAGTCTAGGATGACCCAAAGCCTTGGGACCATGTACCCATGTGGGAGACCCGGAGAAGGCTCCTGGCTCCTGGCTCCTGGCTCCTGGCTCCTGGCTCCTGGCTCCTGGCTTCGGACTGGTGCAGCTCCAGCCATAGTGGCTGCTTGGGGAGTGTATCATCAGATGAAAAATCTTCCTCTCTGACTTTCCTCCTCTCTGTAAACCTGACTTTCCAATAAAAAATAAAATAAATCTTTAAAATAAATAAAATGGCTGTTATTTTTTTAAAAAAAATCACACACACTGGTGATAATGAAAAAAAAAAAGGAACTACACCACTAGTGGGAATGCAAATGAGTAGAGCTCTGTGGAGAACAGAATGGAGGTTCCTCAAAAGCTAAAAACAGAGTTGCCATGTGACCCAGCTATGCCACTTCCACGTACGTCGTTGCAGGAAGTGAGATCAGCCATCAAAGAGAGCTGCCCTCCCAGGTCAGTGGCCACACGGTTCACAGGAACTAAGATACCAAACCCCCCTTAGTGCCCCGCAGTGGGCAAGCAGAGAAAGAAGATGCAGTGCGCATACCCAGTGGGGCTTTACGGAGCATTTCCATACAATGAAACCCTGACATGTGCAGTGAAACAGGGTGCCACTGGAGGCCATGATGTTAAAAGAAGTCAGACACAGAATGGTAAATACCGTATGTTCTCACTCCATGTGGAAGTTAAAAATCTACCTGAAATTGGAGAGTGATGACTAGAATCTAGGAAGGGTGGGGAAAGGGGGAACTAAAGACAGTTGGATAACGTGCAGGGGGACAGTTAGAAGCAGTGAGGCCAGGATGGCACAGCGCAGTGGGCCGAGTGTGTCATCCTTGCGCAGGGGCCATGCTAACCTCCGTATCGTTCCAATCTTCGTGTCTGTGTTAGCAAAGCGAGCACAGTGGGCTGACTGTGGCTCACAGCGCTGCATCCTCCACTGTGTTAGGCACTGCAGGAGGCAGCTGGTGAGCAGTCCCAATTGCCTGCTTGATCAGTTTATGCTGTATAGAATGTGTTGAAATATTTCACAAGACTCCATAAAATATAGAAGTATTAACATTAGTCACATTTTTGAAAGTATTCTTAAAAGTTATTTATTTATTTGAAAGATACAGTTACACAAAGAGGGAATCTTAAATCCGTTGGTCCCCGAATGACCACCATGGAGCCAGGCCAGTCTGAAGCCAGGAGCTTCTTTCTGGTCTTCCTCACAGGAGTAAGAACCCAGTTGCTTGGTCCATCTTCTACTGCTTTTTGAGGTACATCAGCAGGAAGTTGGTTTGGAAGTAGATGCAGGACTCAAACTTGGACTTATTTAGGATGTCAGGCAGTGCTGGTACCCCGTTTTGGTGGAAACGCTCAGGTCTTTCTAGGGTACCCCAGAAGTCTGTTTGGGGTGTGGTTTCTAATTCAGTCATGTCCTGAAAGACAGCCTCTTTCTCCAGCATCCCGACTCACAGGCAGTATCTTTCCTCTTTGCTTGTCTCCCTTCTCACCCTGTGGGCCAGCATCCTATACTTCCTCAAGGACATAATCAGGTGCCATTCAACAGGGAAGGGACCCTTGTGCAGGTCTGGGTGGGGAGAAGGGTTACAGAGCCACTTCCTCCTTCTGTTAGGCTCTGCCCCTCTCCACTGTGTTTGGGAACTGGAACAAAGCTCTCACCACTGCTTCCCATTCGTTGGGCTTCCACCCGCTGCCTGTGGCCAGCAGGTTTTCCAATGAGACTTGCTTCACTGGCCACACCAAAAACTGGCAGATGATGCAAATGCTGACAGTTGAGCCAAAACCAAAACTACAAAGAATTATACCAAGGGGAGTAGACCTTTAAGATTGGACTCTCAACAATTCAAATATCCAAATAGTGTTGGAAAGCACTTCAGAATTTAAGTCTTAATCCCCACACTCCGTATTATAAAACTGTTCTTTTTCTTCCCCCCCCCCCCCCCCATCCCTGACATTTGAGACAAAACGGCCATGTGTGAATTGCCAGACTCTCTGTTTGGAACCTATCCCAGCAACCCCAACCAGAGCTTGGCTCTCATTAGAGAGAAAGCAGACACCCAAAGGTGCTTGCTGTTTGCTTTCCTTTGAGGCATGTTTATAGTAACTCTTTAGAATGAAACAAATGATGGATGCATAATTAATTCAGTTTTCTGTCACCTGTCTTTCCAGTTAAAGACCCAACACCTACTGACCCAGGGATTTTTTTATCTAGTGAATCCTCACAGACCTTCAAATCTTAGCACATATACAAAGAGACTGGGAGAATGCCAAACACGAGAAACTTGAAATAGAGACAGCATCTGCAGCACCTGCTGGTACAGGGGAAGACTGGAGCTGAAGGCAGGCCGGGTAGGGGATCTTCAGGGTCTAAATCTGCAGCACCCATGGGTGTACATGGCAGCCTAGCCCAGCAAGTTCATGTAAGAACCAGTTCTGGGGGGTGGGACTGACCAGACAGCTACACCCACTAGTGCATGTGTTGGCTTTGTCTCTCTTTCAAATAAATGAAAATAAATATTTCTTGAAATGGAGGATGAGGGTGAAAGAAGGGGGATTCCTACTTCTTCTGCCTTTCTGTTTGATGCAAGACTTCAACCCCACTTTGGTGAGGGCGGGTCTCCTTGATTCCATCTACTGGTTCAACCGTTAACCTCTTTGGGAAACACACAGAAGTAATGGCTTGTCAGCGCTCTTAGCCCAGCCAAGGTGATATTTACTAGTGTGTAGTAAGGAGTGAAAGGGCCAAGCTATGAAAATCTAAACAAAGCTCTAAGAGGCCACAAACCACTCTCAGTTTTCCCAGGCAAGTCCTGGTAGGAGGCTTCAGGTCAGACAGAAGTGTGCCTTCTATTCCCTTGGCGTGGACCAGGGCAAGTCACTGAAGCCATCATGGGAATGGAACTGGGAGGATCACCCTTATGCCACCATGAGTAAGACAATTTGAAGAAGGGCCTGGCATATCTGGCACCTGCCTAGGCGGGACTACCTCTCACTGCGACAGCAATGTGATGCAGAGACCCGGCGGGCAGCTGCCACCCTTGCTTTTCCATATTCAGAATGAAGTGTGGTTTGGTTTGGGCAGGTCCCAAGTTAACCGGCGCCAACGCTAGGGATGTGCT